TTTGAATTTTATCCTGACTATTTTAAGGAGTCCAAGGCTTGAACTTAGTAAGCTTTGGAGTGGAGTGTATGAGGCAAGAGGAAAAGTAAACATACAAATAATACATAGTGAAAGAAAAGACCCCCAAAATCTTTATTTAAAAAAGTAAAAATAAGAATGTCTGTTCCATTATAAGTTTATCGTTTGTGTTTATTTCCATAAATAAAACCTTTTTGGCTGGTTTGAAAAGTTGGAGTAGAATGAGAGGTGAAAAGGAAATAGGTTAATAAGCAGGGTTAGAATTGGAATGGGAGGTAGAAGGAAACAGGAAGATGAGAGTGAGGTAGTAAATGAAGAGGGGCCAAAAGGTGATAGAGGTGGAAGGGAGGAGAGGAAACAGATATTTGATATTCTATCTAGAGACACTCAATGGAAAAAGGCTTAATGCCAGAATTCATGTTGTGCCTTGTGACCTGCTTCTGCTTGTTGGTCTAACAGTGGCCATAGGATACATTGCTTGTCTTTGTGTTTGTTTTTAAGAGGATGGGAGAACCATCCCCTTTTATATATTTTTTAAATTATTTTTTAATTTATTGATTTTTAAAGAGAGAGGGAGAGAAACAGCTGTTCGTTGTTCCACTTATTTCTGCATTCATTGGTTGATTCTTGTATGTGCTCTGACCCCAGGGATTGAACCCACAACCCTGACATATGAGGTTAATGCTCTAACCAACTGAGCTCTGCTTATTGGTTAATAACCAACAAGAGGCCTGCTAGGGCCTCTTTTACATTCTTGACATCTTTAGATTTCTTCAGACAATAAAAGTATATATGTTTTCTGTTTTGATATATTGTTTATATTATTTAGTTATACTATATCAAATTAGGAATATGAATCTTCATACTTTTTTGCTGTTTACTATCTTGGAATAATTTTTGTTACAGTTTACATTCAATATTATTTTATATTAGGTATACAGCACAGTGGTCAATCCTACACTTCCCAAAGTACTCTGCCCAATATTTCTAATACTCACCTGGCACCATACATAGTTATTATAATATTATTGACTATATTCCCTGTGTTGTAGTTTACATCCCCATGACTGTTTTATTACTACCAATTCGTACTTCTTAACCCCTTTACCTTTTTCATCCAGTCCCCTAACCTTGCTCCCTTTTGGTAATCATCAGTCTCTTCTCTGTATCTCTGAGTCTGTTTCAATTTCGTTGGTTCATTTATTTTGTTCTTTAGAGTTCACATGTAAGTGAAATCATCTAGTATTTGTCTTTAACTGATTTATTTTACTTAGCCTAGGTCCTCTGCCCACTTTTTAATTGGATTGTTTGTTTTTTAGATGTTGAGTTGTATGAATTCTTCATAAATTTTGTATATTAACCCTTTATCAAACATATCATTGACCAATTTCTTCTTCCATTCAGTAGGTTGTGTTTTTGTTGTATTGATGATTTTCTTTACTCTTCAAAAATTTTTTAGTTTGATATAGTCCCATTTGTTTGTTTCTTTTGTCTCCCTTGTTCAATCATAGCTTTCTTCAATAAAGTATATTAGATTTTATCTTATAATGCTTATTGTATTAAATATGACTGAATTTAATAAGTTTCTACTTCCCTTATGTCTGTATCACAACTTTAAGGAAAAAAATACATTGAGTAAACTTTTTCTCTTCACAGACATTATTAAAAAGCTTTACTAGTTCTTTTGACAGGTTGAAATATTTGTTTTGCTGGTTTTCGGTATTCAGATATTCATTAATTTTTTTTCAGCTCTGCCTTTTTTTAATCCTTACCCAAGGCCATGCTTATTGATTTTAGAGAGAGAGAAAAGGACAGGGGAGAGAGAGGGGAAAGGTTGGGGGAGAGAGAGGGAGCAAAGCATCAATTGGTTGCCTCTGGTACATGCCTTGACTGGATACTGAACCCATGACCTAGGCATGTGCTCTGAATAGGTTTCAAACCTGCAACCTTTCAGTTTCTGGTTTACGGGATGGTGCCCCAACCAACTGTGCCACACCAGCCAAGGCTCAGCTTTGTTTCTGAGACCATAATTTGAAAGCATCTAAAAACACACTGTTTTTATAATACCAGAAAAGTGGTTAGTTGTGTTTTTTTTGTTAAAATTTTTTAAGTAGTGTGATCACTTTCAAGAGTCAGCTTACTAATTACTTAAAGATAAAACTAAAACAGTTAATGCTTAAATAATCCTGACTTTAGTTCTGTTTAGTGTGAAGTCTGTCCTATTAGGTAAGCATTAAACTTTTTAAATAAAAACAACCATTTAAGGTCAAAACTTTAAAGTTAAATTATCTTGGACAGTAATAGACTAGCTCTTTGTGTAATGTAAATATAAATATATAGGAGGTAAATATACATTAAACCTTCAGAGGATTCTTATTTTGCCATCTCAGGCCTTTAATACATAAGAAGAAAAAATGAGCTAGGAAAAAAATTTCTGATAATAATCAGTGAAATGGAATTTCCACATACTATTTGAAAATGGAGGGAAAGGTTATAGACTCTCCACTCATTTTGTTAATACAATATATCATATAATTTTGTATCTCTTGTTTGCTAATAAAAAATATTTACCATATTTTGAATGTCCCTTAAAAACATATGTAGTTCCTTTATTACTCCAAAAAGTTATAAATTAGTTCAGTGAATTAATTATTTAAAAAGGATATGTAATTGCCAGTGTCTGACCAATAACTGTTTCCATTGTGTTCATACATTAACCCTGTGGGTTCTAGACAGTATATATGTACACATATTCATAATTTCTTTAAACTCTCAGGCATTGCTGAAAATGTCATTTGCCATTTAAATATTTAATAAGGGTAGGATACTTGTTTGTATCAGTAAGGGAGGCTAAATGATGCTGCAGTAACAAGCAATCAAAAAAAATCTCAGTGGCTTAAAATAGTTTTTACTTCTCTCTGACTTTATGATGATATTAGCTGTGTTCAGGAAGCACCTCCATTCTCTTCACTCTGGGATCCAGGCTGAAGAAGCTGCTAGTACTTGGGATATTGCCATTTTTGTAGTGGAAGAAAAAAGAGATGGTTGAACCATGTGAGGCTCTTAAAACTTTTGTTTGGAACTAGCACATTACTTCGGTTCATATTTCATTATTCAAACAAGTCACGTGGCTAATCCCCATGTGAGCAGAGCAAGAATTACAGCCTTTCCACTAGAGAAAGAGGAGCAGTGAATATTTTTACAATAACAGTTTCCCACATTACTTGTAAAGATAAATTAACTACTACATATGTAAGTATCTAAGGATTAAAAACTTAGAATATCTCATTAATTTAGATGTTGAAACAAGTGATATATGTTTACCTTTGTAGTGTATATGTTATAAGGGTTTACTAAAACAACAAATAGTGTAATTTTATTAACCAGTGTTACCCCAATAAATTTAATTAAAAAAAAAAACAACCAGCCCTGGTCAGGTGGCTCTGTTGACTGGAGCATTGATCATCCTGCTCACCAAAAAGTTGCAGGTTCGATTCCCAGTCAGGGCACATATAGGAGGCAACCAACTAATGTTTCTCTCTCTCTCTCTCTTTCTCTTTCCTCCTCCTCCTCCTCTCCCCCCTCCCTCTGTCTCTCCCCGCCTCCCTCTCCCTCTCTCTCTCCTTCTCCCTCTCTCACACTCTCTCACACTCTCTTGCACTCTCTCCCCCACCCCATACTACCCATTCCTCTCTCTAAAATCAATAAACTAATCCTTAGGTAAAGGTTAAAAAAATAATTAATTTTAAAAACCATAGTGTAACTATCTATGTCAAAGTGCTTAACCTTAAGGGGAACAGCTTTTTGAGAACTTAAAAGATATTTACTGCCTTGGCTAGTGTGGCTCAGTAGATTAAACATCGGCCTGCACTGAAAGGTTGCTAGTTCAGTTCCCAGTCAGGGTACATGACTGGGTTGTGGGCTGGGTGTCCTGTTGAGCGCGTGTAAGAGGCAATTGATCGATGTTTCTCTCCCTCTCTTTCTCTGTCCCCTGCCCTCTCTCTGAAAATAAATAAGTAAAGTCTTTTTTAAAAAGGTATTTACTGACATACACTAGTATCCTAGAAAGTATTCTGGTAGAAAACTAGTACTTAAGTGTCATTAAGGAAGAATGTTTTGGGAGTCACATATATTGGGGAGACTGTAAACTATACTAATATTTTGGATACTTAGTGTGCATCAGAGTATGAAATGCTTGGATAAATTCATTTAGCTTTGCTTAACCCAGTATTTCCATGATATACTTGTTTGGAACCTAATTACTAAGCAACACCTATTAAGTTTTCTTAAGGAAACCCTAACATGAAGAAGTTGGTAAGCTGATTACAATTTATTCATTAGATCTGGCACTTCAGTGCTTGTCAACCTCTTTGTTAATTTTAATAGTGGTTTATAGTCTTTGTAATTGAAAATCAAGGGTATTTTCTTTTTAACCTCGGTATTCCAGTTCAGGGAAATTTCCCTGGTAGAATTATTCTGAATTGGATACAGTGTGTGTTCAGGTATTCTTTTGGTGTAGGTCTTCTGACTTCTGGGTCTAGATCCTTAAAGGAACCCCAGTACAACCCAGAGGTACTCATTGCCTCAGAAATCTTACAGTGGCATAGCACGTTTTTTAAGGTTAGGATTGTGGGACAAGCATGTTTTTAAATTGAAGTTGTAAAAAATGTTTTTAAGACAAAAACAAGACCAAGTCCATATTTTAAAACTTTCTTATTTCTGTAATGAGAAAACAAAGATGACATATAATAAATTAAAACCTTATCTTAGACATAAATCCATTCCCATAAAACCTTATAAGAATTATTAAAAATTAATAGGGGCTTTTCTATTTTTTCTCTTCTCTGTTAGGGTAAAAGTTAAGTTGTAGAATAAAAGAAGTCAAATGTAGAGGTCAACAAAGACAACAATTGAGGATTGGTTTTAGCTAAAAAAATAAATGTTGGTGGTTCATTTTATGGAACGCTTATGTATACCCACAGCTCAGCCAGCAGGAGTGCCAGAAATTTTAAAGAAAAGCTTGCATAGCTGTTCAGTGAAAGGAGAGGAAGAAGTATTTTTAATTGGCAAGAACTTTCTGAAAGGAACTAAAGTGATTTTCCAAGAAAATATTTCTGGTAAGTAGGCATAATACTGGTATAAAGATTGTTGCATATTTCACTTTGTTATAAAGATACAGTCATAACTGCAAAGTAAAAATTTTTTTCAAAATTTTAGTAAGCCATTGTTTTTATTTCAATCAGATGAAAACTCTTGGAAGTCAGAAGCTGAAATTGACATGGAATTATTTCATCAGGTATAATTTAAGCCTTTTTATAGTTTGATGGTTTACTCTGAGAAATTCAATTTTGTTCCGAAATTTTCTTGAATCAACAGATTAATTTTTTCTTTATATGGATTGATGTAAGTCATTTCAAGTTTCTTTGTTGAATTTCTTTAACTGAAATAGAACTATTCCACTGATGCCAGAAGTGAGAATTCTCTATTTTAAAAAATTTAAGAGCATTAGCAAATTGTCATTGCTAATAATTAATGAAACATTTCTATTATTTATTTGCTCTGGGAATTTGGATTATCTCAAATCTTAACCTATTATTAGTTAAATCAAAGGAAATTTATTTATTGAATGCCTGCTATGTTCCAACTGTTTTATGTTTGTTAGTTACCTTTTTGTACTCAAAAGCACAATGTGTTAGATTTGTATTAAAGAGTGTGTATTTGTAGGCCCTCACTATGGATTGTTTTTTAGATAACAAGGAAAAGGGGCTTGAAAACAAGAATAAAGAACTGACTTAAGGATTAATATGCAGATCAGATAGGACAAAACAAATGTTGAGACTAGCAGAAGAGGATAAATTTACATGCAAATCAGAGAGAAAACATGCAGAACAATAGTGTGTTTAGGTGTGGTTCATAGAGACTAGAGAAGTAGGGACACAATAATGTGTAAAGTGCTCAAAGCCTAAAATTTAACATAAAATGCAGATAGGAATCAAAAAGCAAATGAAAATAAGCAAAAAAGATAGAAAAGGGCCCTGGCTGGCGTAGCTCAGTGGATTGAGTGCGGACTGGGAACCAAAGTGTCCCAGGTTCGATTCCCAGCCAGGGTACATTCCTGGGTTGCAGGCCATAACCCCCAGCAACCGCACATTGATGTTTCTCTCTCTTTCTCTCTCTCTCTCCCTCCCTCCCTCCCTTCCCTCTCTAAAAATAAATAAATAAAATCTTAAAAAAAAAAAGATAGAAAAGGCAAAAAAATTGAGAATCTCTACCTAGTTTTTAAAAATAGTTCTGAATTCCTTTGTATTTTATTTATTTTTATTCCTTTGTTTTAAGAAAAATCTAATACAATTTTTAAATATCATACATCCAATATGTTATGTCCAATATATTGCCGAACTCAAAGCAAAGGGCATAGTACTTCCTAAGACTGCTCTCCCTTCAGACATCAGCCACAAGGTCAGTGGTCCCTTGGCCACTCTCACTTTTGAACAGTTGGCTTCAAATTCAGCGGTTCTCACTCTCCTCTCAGACTTGCTAGAACAATTCACAGAATTCAGGAAAGAACTTTAACTATTTTAGCTTTGTTACAGCAAAAGGACACAAATCAGGAACGGCTGGAGAGGTTCCATAGAACAAGGTCTAAAAGAGTCCCAAAGATAAAGCCCTTCTCTTTTACCTCTTTTCTTCCTCTTTTCTTCCTTCCTTCCTTCTTTCTTTACTTTTGAGGCATGAGGTAGTTATATTTTTTAAAAGAACTTTTCTTCAGGGCATTATGCCAGCTATAATAATCATAAAAATAAGATATGTGGTGGAATGGAAAGGAGTTATATCCTTATTTGGTAGCTATACCTAGAGATCCTGGGGGTTTTTGCAAACAAATATGTAAACAAATTAAATTACAATACGATCTTTCATTGATTCTGTGGTTCTACTGTTCATTTTAAAATTTTTATCTTTTGCAAAGAGAACTTTCTGGAGTTTTTTTTTCCCTAAGGGGATTTCTGGGAAGTATTTAGAGTAGAATTTTATCTGAGGAATAAAGAATTGATCCTAGAGATTATATTAAAGAAAAAACACAAAAATTAAACATTTAGAGGGATGGATGATCAGAAAACCTATTAAAAGAAATGAGACTTACTGGGTATAAAGAAATATCAGGCCTATACAGAAAAGTTGAAAGGGCCTCTATAATATTAAAAAATGTTCAGAAGATGGTATAGTAGAAAAGACCATTTGAAGATAACTTTGCAAATTGCAGTTATTAATAATTGTGGTAGCTATTTATTTGCAAGCCCAAAATCAACTCATTGAGTATTAAACTTTTTCCATTATACAAAAATTGAGATTAATGAAGTTGGAGAAAACAGTTCTTTGTTTAACATTTGGCTCTTTTAGTCAAGGCCATAATATGTGATAGGCATATTGCCATTATATCTACTACCATTTTAACAATTTTAGATAAGTTCTATAGGCCATTTTTTGCTCATTACACACACACACACACACACACACACACACACACACACACAGGGGTGGGCAAAAAGTTGACAGTTCTATGTGAAATAGTTTATTCTTGTATTGTGTATTAATTATTGTATTATTTATTTTCATTACAACTGTAACCCTAATTTTGCCACCCTGTGTGTGTATATGTTGGTTTTGAAAGAAAGCAAGAGAAAAGATGCCTACACCAAAATACATCATAATTAAAATGCCAAAGGTTAAAGGTAAAGAGAGAATCTTAAAAGTAGCAAGAGAAAAGCTGATTTCTCAAAAGAATCTTTGCAGGCTAGAAGAGATTGGCAAGAAATATTCAAAGTCATAAAAAGCAAAGACCTACACCAAGATTACTTACCAAGCAAAGATATCATTTAGAATCAAAGAGCAGGTAAAAGAGCTTCAGGGGCGGGGTGGGGGGAGCTAAAGGAGTTCATCATCACCAAGCTATTATTATATGAAATGTTAAAGGGACTTATTTAAGAAGAAAAAGATCAGACCTATGAACAATAAAATGGCAATAAATATATATCAACAAATGAATCTAAAAAACAAACTAAGCAAACAAGCAGAACAGAAGCATAGATACAGAGAACATTTTGATGGTTGCCAGAGGGTGTAGTTCTTGGGGAATGGGTGAAAAGGTGAAGGGATTAAGGAGTACAAATTGGTAGTTAAGTTACAGAATAGTTGTAGAGATGTGAAATACAGTATAGGAAGTGGATTAGCCAAAGAACCTATATGCATGGTCCATGGGCATAAGCAATGGTGTGGGGATTGATTACCTGAGGAAATGAGGATATTGGGTGGAGGAGGGCAAAGGGGGGAAAATTGGGATAACCATAGTAACATAATCAATAAAATAGAATTTTTTTAAAAAAGGAAAGAGAGCTAACAGCTTGAAATGTGGAGGTGATTTTAAAAGGGAACTAGAAACTAAAAATCGGGTGTATTAAAAAGAACCAGGCAGAGGTATATTTGATTTAAGAATAACTTGTTTTTAAAAGCATGAAACAAGCATTAGTGTATTAAAAATAGAAAATTGTATAGATTATTGTTTCTCAACCTTTAGTTTTCTAGGTTCTTTCTATTGCATTTTTTGGAGTGTAAGAATAGAAACATGTGAAGAAGCTTTTGGAATTTTCAGTATAAATATGGAAAACATGTTCTTGATAGAAATACCAAAAAGATCCTCAAAGTCTGTGTGAATAACTAAACTAAACAAAGGCTTGGGAGTTCAGACGTTATGTTTTTAAATTGTTTTATTTAGGAATGATAAATTATCTCTCAGGAGAGTGAAAAAATCTAGCACCACTGCTTGTAAATTCTGAAAAAGTTTATCCCTTGGGGAAAAAGAAAATTGTTATTTTTGAATCTAAGAAGATTTTTCAAAGAAATTAAGATTCATATGTTCTCCTTTTACCCCAGAGGACATTGTACCTGCTTCAAAAGCCTCTAATCCTTTGCTTGTTTTATCTGTACTGTACTCCTAGCTCAGTAATAGTTAACTGCTCTTAATTTGTAAGTCATATTTAAAAACAACTTTCTATCACCATTCACAATTTACTTAGTTTTTAATCCAAATCGCTTGTAAAATAGATTCAGACTGAGGAAATATGAAGAATTGGTATCAAAATACATTTCTTTGGTTTTTAAAAGGTTTCAAAGTAGATTTGCTTAAGTAACTGACTTTTTGACACTAATTCTGTTACTCATTACCAAAACCAAGTTTTTATTCAGAAGAATAATTTGTTTATAGAAATTGCCAAATAATTTTAAAATGGGAGGATACGTCACATGTCCATCTGTTCAGCAGTCTTTTATACTGCTTTGTGTTGTAGTTGCAGTGTTTAATCCAAAGAGTAAAAACGAGGATAGGCCAGATTTAAAAACATTTTCTTAGAAGTTGGGTTAGTGCAGTTACATTTTTTGATGACATATGATATAGAGTATGTGCTGTCAGATATTTTTTGTTTATAATGTGACTATTTCAAGATGGCTTAGACACAAATTAAGTGTTCAAAAATTGGAACCTTGATCTTGGCCTTATTTGCCACATGTTCTATTAAACCGAGTCAACCAACTATAGTCTAAATAAAAAATGTTATCAAACCCACTTCACCCTCAACTGTCACCATTGGCCTCCTGCATATCAACATCCTAAAGTACAAAAGCATAATCACCATCCCTTGATGTTCCTTCCTATTACTATATTATACCAGGGAAGAATACAGGAAGTCTAATGTGGTTTATAGTGTCTTACAAGAAGATGTAGTACCCTTGAGTAAGTGCTGGTGAAGCATTTATGAACTCTTCCCTTTTCTTATAAGGATGCTTCTCCCACTTCTCTGACAAAAAATAATTTTGATTTACTGGGGTTTGGGTAAACTGAACCCTATTTGGCTAAAAGAGAACTAAAGTGATTAGCAAGCAGTGACCTGCCTTGTGAAATACATCTCACCTAAAGTTGTACAGAACATATGGTAACTGATACTGTGCTTGGTGAGCATATTTTTTTCCTCAAAATTTATTCATTTTTTTTATTCAACAAATATAGTTGTGTGTATTTTGAGTAAGGTACTTAACAGGATAGATAGACTGAAGAACAAAATGTCTAGGTTTTCATGGAACTTAACATTCTTGAGGTTGTAGAGAGACAAAAATAAATAAATAATCACGGTAATTTCAGGTGGTAAGTCCTGTTTTAGAAATAAACAAGATTATGTAATTAAGACTGGGAGAGGTGCTACCTTCCTTCCCAAGGATAGTCAGAGAAGGCTTCTCTGAGGAAGTAACATTTGAATAAGACCTGAAAATGGTTAAGAAAGTAGACATTTGGACAGGTGAAGGAAAAATATTCCAATAGGAGAGAACAGTGAGTTGTAAAGGCTCTGTGGTAAAAATTAGTATGTTAAAAGAATGGACTGAGGAGGTCAGTGTGGCTAGAGTATAAACAATCTGGGGAGAATGGGAATGAGATAAAGTTGTCAGGGCGGGAAACTTATAAGCCATTGTAAAACATTTGGATTTTATCTTAAAGTAGTTTTAAGGTTAATATCCTGATGCCTGTGAATCTGAGCTTTAAAATATTTTTTTCTAGTAGGACTGTTAAACTTTATAGCTAACAGGAAATGTACTTAATTATAATTTTTATTTCAAAATTTGTATTTAAATGTTGCTTCTTTTCTGACTCTTATAATTTTCTTTCCATTAGAATCATCTTATTGTGAAGGTTCCCCCATATCATGACCAACATATAACATTGCCAGTATCGGTGGGAATATATGTAGTGACCAATGCTGGAAGATCTCATGATGTTCAGCCATTCACTTACACTCCAGACCCAGGTATGTTGAAATAAAAAATTCTGAACTATAAAATGAAGGATTAATTTTGGAAGGCTATGAAAAAGACCAGCCAATGAAAAAGAAAAAGTTGTATACTAAGATGAATTGATACTAGTATTTTTTGGAGATAGCATTATTTCCTAAGAAGATGGCCACCATACTGCTTTTACTTTTATGTTTAAAGGGTATCATTTCTGCCTTATGCTCTAAAGTCAGACTCTCCATAGTTATCATACAGGTTACTCTTTAGTAAGAATTACCATTCACTGAGTACCTCTAAAGTGCAGAAAGGTGAAAGTGACAACTTCAGGAAACTGCTAATAGCTTAGTGTGGCTGGCTTTTTTGCAGGATGCATTTTGGGAGAGGTGAGAGATAAGCTTGGAGAGATAAGTGATAAAGTTACAAATACAGAGTTCTGTGCCTGTAACATTTCCTGATCTTTATAATCAAAATATCAAAGACTACTGGTGAATAAATATTTTAAATATAATTTTAAGCATTTAGGTAAAACAGATGCTTTAGAAACCAGAGCAATAAGAGCAATTGAAATGTTAAAAGTTTGGAAGATCTTTAGATCTTCTGGGTAAGAAGTATATTATGAGTTGTTTGCCTGCATTCATTTAGTTGCGTGAAGAAGAAGAAAAGCCTTTTTCTGGCAGAAGTAGGGAGAACATTTTGGAAATGGAAACTCTTCACATGTTCCCATTGACCTAGGCTTGATTTCTGCCATGCTTACCATTGGTTCACTTCATTCCAGGCTCAGATATTTTCGGAATTTGCAGTTCTTCGGTATCTGTAAGTTATTCCCAAATAGTTCAGGATTCAGTAAGGTGTGAAGTGAAAAAAGATGGCAGGGAAAGAAATCTCTGGCAACAAAAAATGATGGAAACAGTAGCTAGGACTGTTTACTAGTCTACTGCTGTAACAGTAGACTAATTATAACTAGTCGTGATAAATTACTTTCTATCACTTAGTTGGACCAGTTTCCTTTTTTCATTTTTAAATCATGTCTGAATTTCACAACATTGACTATTTTCCACTAGTTTGCACAGAAGTATGGTATAATGTAGCACTAATGAAATCTTCTTAGTATTTGTCTCAGAATAAAAGATCACAAGTAGAAATTTCAGACAGAAAAAGGACAAGTTTAGAAATAATATACTGGCTTCAACAAAAGTAGGGAAGAGAAAACTGGCCTAAACTCAAAAACCAAATATTTTATAGTTTCCATTCTAGGAAACTCTCAAAAATCCAAGAAACTTTGATTTAAAACTAATGGTACTTGATACCCCAATAAATTCAATTAAAAAAATTAATGGTGGTTAAAGCATTTTAGTAACTGCTAGTTACTAAATATTGACACTGAATATTTTGTGTAAGAAGGTACTTACTTGTGTGGGGAGAAAGATGACGTAATCAACACAAAAGAACTTTTTCCTAAGGAGCGTCTGTGTCATTTGTGTGGGAAGGGAAAAGAGAAGTTAAGTGTATGTATATGTCAGGAAATAGCCATACAGTTTTTGCTGCCTTGAAAATCTGAGGTTTTGTTGTTGTTTGTTTTTATTGATTAATTATAAAGAACTTCAGGACTTTGATGTGCTAGAATCAACACTGAGAATCCTCATTTCTGAATAAGTGCTGATTATTAATTTCCTTTTGATAAATTGCTAAATAAAACAGATTTAAGTCTTCTGCTTTAAAGCCTATACCAATTGGCTAGATTTAGCCACATTTAGGTACTTATTAATACAGGTTTATTCTTTTAAATATCTTTTATATTTTGTATATCATAGATAACATTTACTCTCAGAAACCCTTAATTGAATACATAGTGTGCAAACTTTGTAATGAGATCAAATGTTCAGCTTCTACCTTTATGATATAGCTAATTAAAGAATCTTCCTATAATTTCACTTTTTTGTATTATGTAAAATGTAATTTCAGGTGTACATGTGAGAGAGAATATAATTTTAGGACGACTTGGCTAGGGAGAATTTGCACTATCTCATTGTGATAAATTAGTTGCTATACACCTGGAGAGCCTTGGTATGTACCAGCCAGTGTTTCCAAGCTCTGTCTATGCTATAGGCCTAAGACCGCACACATAGAGTAGTTGTGCAGAAAATTTGGGGATCTTGAGTACATGGTCTAAAAGTAGAATTGGAGCAAGGGCTCAAGTGAACATAAACTGGTATGCACCTCTGACCCTCAGTCACAAGCCCTTCTGAAGCCCTCTGGGGCTATACTGCCAAAGTACATCACATGTGCATGCTCTCAGGCATTTAGATACTTAGCAGAGCCATAAAACCTTTGTTTCATTGTCATTTACTCACTGAAGCTTTCCTTAATCATTAAAGCACCTTTATTTTGTTTTATTTTATTTTATTTTATTTTATTTTATTTTATTTTATTTTATTTACATCAGTCAATTAAGACATAGAAATCACATTAGGTTTTTTTGCAGTGACTCTTCAGCAGTGATTCCTTTTAAGAAATGGAGGATATAATACTTACATTTTTTGTTGTTCAAAAACAAAATGACTAGAATTTGATTTAAAAGTAGAAATTTAAATTTTTTTCAAATATTTTCTGTTTTTAAATCTGTGATTGTTAGAGTTAATGTTATACTTAAAATTGTCTATGGATTTTTTTCTTTTTTCTTTTTTTTTCTTTTTCTAAGTATATTTTATTGATTATGCTATTACAGTTGTCCTGATTTTTGCCCCTTTGCCTCCCCTCTACTCAGCCACCCCCTCCCTCAGAGGATTTCTTTTTCATTAAATTCTCTGTATATCATTTGTTGAACCTCTTGTACAGCATGTTAAGGTAAATAACTTCATTGTTAGGAGATGTATATATTTTGTCTCTTTATTCACAAGTAACTATCTTTTTGTAGTCCCTTTATATAACTATCATTTTACACTGCCATATCAAGAATAAGAAATTGAAAATAAGCTGACTTAATTCCCATTTTGAATAAGATAAGGTATATAAAATAAAAACATTAAAAAATTAAAATTAAAATCTTCTTAAATAAGTTTATCATATAGTCATTTTAGGCAAGAACCTATTTATTTGGAATTTATTTAACTCTATTAACAAGAACTGATCTCAGCCCTGACCAGCATGGCTCATTTGGCTGAGCGTCATCCTGAAAAGCAAAAGGTCGCTGTTTCGATTCCTAGTCAGGGCACATGTCTGCATTTTGGGCCTGGTCCCCTCTTGGGGCATGTGCAAGAGGTGCCCCAACACACCAGTCAGTGTGTTTCTCTCTCACATCAATGTTTCTCTCCCTCTCTTTCTCCCTATATCTAAAAATAAATAAATAAAATCTTAAAAAAAAACAAAAGAACTAATCTCAGTTCTTAGGCCCATTAAATTTAAAGTTATCATAGTAGATTTAGTTGGTATGATTAGATATAATAGCACAGCAATTCTCCATTAATAATAGCAAAGATTTTTTCAATGCTTTGCAAAAAGAATAATCACAATGCTATGTAGATGCCATATTTTTACCAGTTTTTTAAAATGTAGCTATATTAATTGACTAATATTTCTGAATTCATATTTTAATATATTTATATAGCTGAATTATGAATTTTACTCATGCTGATGTTACATAGCTTATTTGATAAGCTTAAAAATTCTCCTATCACTCTTCTACTCATCAGATATTGTCAATGTGTATACTGTAGTAAGAATTATTTTTAAGCTGCTGTTGGTTTTGTTTTGATAAATGAGAATATACTTTTGCCCAATTGGAGATGGTGAATTTTAGAGCATAGCCTGGTAATTTCAAAACTCATTTCAACTTAGAATTGCTACTAAACAAATAATTTAATGATTCTTTGTGAGAAAATATTCCAATTAAAGGATTTTAAAATATACATTTTGTTAAGATGAATAAGTTTAAATAAATACATTAATCTTTTTTTTTTTAATAGCAGTAGCTGGTGCTTTGAATGTAAATGTGAAGAAGGAAATATCTAGTCCAGCAAGACCTTGCTCTTTTGAAGAGGCCATGAAAGGTACCAAGTTGATTCCTCTCAAAAATTGTAAAATAAGTGATCCCATATATTTTATTTAGCAGACTTTACTATTTTGTTTTCTCTTATGTACATGGAACACTTAGCAGGGTATTTTCCATGCTGTAAAATAAATATTTGTTTGACTTCACTGAATGCAGAGGTTTGTTTCCCAACTTGATATTTCCCATCGTTCACCATATAAACACCTTATTTTTTAACATGTTGGAGTGGAGGAGTTTTTTTTTTCTGTTTTCTATTCCCCAATATTAAAAATTTTATAAGGATATATAAAGCACAATAATGTATGTCAAAAATGGGACTATAGGCTTTTTGCTAATAATATGGTTAGCACTTAACATTGAGACTGAAGAGACCAAAATGTGAACTACCAGCATTTGAAAAAGTTTTAGGTTCTTTCTCTGATATCTTTATTTACTCCCCTGCCAATCCCAAGAGATAATGAAGATATCTTCAGAATGTTATAATGTGGTAGATTCTTTTCTTAACTGATTTCCAATACAACTATAACACTCACTGATATTTTTGTGTCATTATAAATGAAGATGTCGATTACATAAAGGCCACTGATTTATTTCTATAACTCTAGCTTTTACTTACATTATTCTGCCATAAAATTCATGAGTTTAATTAAATTATAAAATTAAAAATACTTAAGTTTTTTAAGGATCACAATATGCTTAATAAATTTTATCAAATACAGTGGATTTTTTCTTATTGTCTGTACTAAAATTTAGCATTCATGTATATAATGTATTCAATATAGCTTGCTATTATAATTTCTGACCATGAACCTTTCCAAGTAGATTAGTGAGAAATTATGCACTGCCAAGATTATCTGAATCAACTACAAGAAAATTTACAAATCTGCACCATAGATAACCATGGCTAACGTATATTGGACATATATTAAGTGCTAGGCAATATGCTACACTCTTTTACCAGCATTATTTCATTTCAACTTCCAAACTATGAGTTAGGTAATTTATTATTCTTATTTTATAGATGAGGAAGCCAAGGTTCCAAAGAGGTTGAATAATTTGCCCAAGGTCATTTGCTGGTATTAAAATGAATAAACTAAGCTTCAGAGTATAAAGTAACACCTCTAAGTAAAAATAATTCAAACTATGTTCATTGGATAAATAATGCCATAATTAATTAATCCTTAAAGTCCAGAACATTTATGGTGTATTCTTTGACAACTTTGTGCTTTTCTTCAAAAATTCCTTTATGATCTTTTCTTAGAGTATCAGGCTGATAGAACACTTATGTAATCCAATGTGAAATTTTTCATACATGAATTGAAACAGGGGTGTCCAACCTTTTGGCATCTCTGGGCCACACTGGAAGAAGAAGAGTTGTCTTGGGCCACACATTAAATACATTGCAACATGTAATCACCAAAGAAATCTCATAATGTTTTAAGTAAATTCACAATTTTGTGTTGGGTGGCATTCATAGCCATCCTGGGATGCATAAGGTCCATAGGCTGCAGGTTGGATACCCCTGAAAGGTTGAAAGGTTTTAAACACTGTTTAATTTTTAGTAACAAAATTATTTGGTCAGTTGATCAAAATCTTACAAGCCTAAAAAATGGATAAGAAACAAACACACGTGCACATATTATCCTTTTTCAAAATTCAGACCTCCTTGTTTTGACAATTTTATCAACTGAAATCATGATAAAAATAATTTTTGAGGAGATATAAAATTGCCCTGGCCCAGTGGCTCGGTTGGTTGGAGCATTATCCCATACATTAGAAAGGTCGTGGGTTTAATTCCTAGTCAGGGCACACTTGTGGGTTTTGGGTTCAATCCATGGTCAAGGCACATATGGGAGGCAACTTATTGATACTTCTCTCTCTCTCTCTCTCTCTCTCTCTCTCTCTCTCTCTCTCTCCCTCTCTCCCTCTCTCCCTCTCTCCCTCTCTCCCTCTCTCCCTCTCTCCCTCTCTCCCTCTCTCCCTCTCTCCCTCTCTCCCTCTCTCCCCCCGTCTCCCTCCCTCCCTTCCCCTAATCCCCTTCCTCTCTCTCTAAAACCAATAAAAACATTATTCTCAGGTGAGGATTTAAAAAAAGATATAAAATTAAATTGAGAGGGTATAAGAAGACTAAGCGGTAATGGGAAAATATAATAAAGATTATATATTAAAAATTAAATTGAATATCCAGGTATTTTATCAGTTTAAATTTTTCATTTGTTTTCATAAACACAACATCATTAATTAGAAATAATTCATCAATTTAAAAAACAATAGCTTTTAGAATCAGGAATTTTCCTTGACAAATGGCTTATTTTTATGATTCCTTGAAATCATAGCTTTAATATAATGTTAAAGTACCATTTGGGAGATTTAATTAGCTATACTTTAGTAATAAAGACTGAGCAACATAAATGACTTTTAAATTTGTGTTATGGCATTAATCAAGTAACATCCTTGTAAATAGCCATCAATTACAGTAAGATTTAGACTTTGATAGTAAAATAATGGTATTATGGTCATATATTGGAAGCTTTTACTCTGAAGTAAGTTTCTAACTCCTTGGAGAGAGTTTGGAAGAGTGGAGAGTAGGGAAGATAACTGTACAGGGACTCAGTGAGATAGTAAGTCTAGAGCTAAAGCTTCATGATTCATTTTTCAGTTTTACCCAACTAGGTATATATCCCTAACACAGGGAATATAAATAAAATGACAAGATAAAGTATATGTGTAAACTATTAATAATAGTTTCTTCAGAATATTTCCAGAAAGTTTTCTGTATCTGTATAGGTGCAAGTAGATGTGAATGATAGACCACTCTAAGTCTCTATGATACAGGTTTAGAATCCAGGGGTAAAGTGTTGATGTGCATTCCTTCAGTTTCAGCTTTGTAAGGAATGGTTAACTGGATTAGTGTAAAAAATAGTTGAGAGCATATCCTTTTCTCTAACTGGTTAGGACTTTGGGAAAGGTTTAGGAATTTAGAGGAACCATAGAGATAATCTTGTTCAATCTCATTTTACAAGTAAATAAACCAAGGCCTAAAGAAATTTAAGTGATTTGCTCAAGTTCATATAGCTAGTAACTGACAGAAGTTGCAAGTTAAATTTCCCTCAAAACTCTATATTTTTCACTCTATTATTTCCTCCCCTATAAATCTTAATTCATATTTAACCATACATACCTGTATTTTACCTAAATGCTGCTTACTGATAACACACTTACTAAAGATTATTCTGAGTTTCAAAAGTTATTATTTGACACGGATGGAAGAGAACGCTGTTTAAAAGTTGTTTGGCATAGTGTATAAATATCAATATTCTTATTTTTAAAATATTTTATTTATTTATTTTTAGAGAAGAAGGGAGAAAGAGGAGGAGAAACACTGATCGGCCTCTCGCACACCCCCCAACCAGGGGACCTGGCCTGCAACCCAGGCACGTGCCCTGACAGGGAATCAAACTGGCGACCTTTCAGTTTGCAGGACAATGCCAAGCCCACTGAGTCACACCAGTCAGGGCAGTACCAATATTCTTTACAAATTCAAATTGATATTGGAATGGTTAAATATGTCTCTTATTTACCTTCTAGACTTTCAGAATTGGCTTAAAAGTTTTTCCCCAACCCCTAGGTTATTTGTATTTTACTTGTTTGTATTTTTTTCCTCTTTCATTAACATGTGATTTTCACATAGCAGGGATTTATGCATCGTATTCATCATCATGGGATCCCCAAAACCTAGAATAATACCGGAACTTTGTAGAGACTCAATAAATAGCTAGCAAAAATGTAAGAAGAAAAGACAGGGTGACATTTCTCAAGCCATTTAATATTCAGACCTTATTTACAGGTCTATTAAGATACAGTTAAGGGTTCTGGGACAAGAAAGTATAGACTCACTTTTCCCTATTCCTTCTAAATCTGCTAAATACCTTAGAAATAATTCAGCAATCATAAAAGGACTTTGAAATATAGAGAGAAGAAAATGGACTGGCTAGGGACCTCACATCTTGAAGAATGATACCAACTTGCCTGGGTTTTCTTTTTGTCTTCATTTATCTGAATTAGGCACCAGAGAGGTCTGCAACTCAGAACTGGCAATAGGCATGGGCAAAAAGTAAATCAATCAATGAATAAGCAGAGCCTACTCTCTTTGGCCATAAGGCCAGGAAAGGGGAAGCCCACAGAGACTTGTTGGGATGACTCATACTTAGGGACCTCAGCTGACCCAACCCCCACCTATATTGTAATAGCAATAACACAACTTGGGAGGGTCAACCCACCCCATGCATCATACCTGCCAAGTAGCAGTAGGCCCAGTCTGCCAACAGTGGAACTCAGAAGGGCCACAAACATAATGCCAGCAACAATGGAACCCAGGAAGGCCACATATATGCTGGGTCAGTCTAATTGCAGCAATGGCAATGACAGAACTCAGGAGGGCAACCCATCCCTTGCCCCACATCAGGCTGCAGCACACATGCCCCTCCACCTGCATTGGTGGTCCCAGCAGACCTTGTGTCTCCCCATCATACCACTAAGAGCAGACAGAGACCCAGAACTAGCAGCTCCTAGCCCTCCATCCAAGAGCAGAAAAGATTCAGGCCAAGTGTACCCCAACCCTCCACCCTGTGACAGAAGGCAATTCAGTGGTAGAAGGTGAACCAGACCCAAACCTCCATCTAGTGGCATGAAGTTGCCCAGACTCTGTAGTCTTGACCTTCTACCCATTGGTAGAAAGCAGACCACTCAAGTGCTTCCCACCCCCAGCAGCATCAACAGTGATAGAACGAGAAGCCAGTTAGTACCAGGAGACTACAGAATATACCAGAAGAAATACTTATCCTCCTGTAGGTCCAGCATTCCTCATCCCCACCTAGTAACACCAGGCAGCACCTTTCACTCTTGCAGGCAGCACCAACAGGATTCCAGCTGGAGTTCATGCAGAGCTAGAACAGAAAGCAGACCAGACTAGGGCTCAGAAAACTAAATTGTCAGTGGCTGTAGAAAGACTTGTATCTTTGTGTGAGCATTAGACAAAATGTTCTTACTTTTCTATACCAATAGACATACCTGTTTGTCAGTGGTCTCCTTAGGAGGAATAAAAGACTCTTGCCCAACTTACTCCACCTTTTCTTATTTTTCAGAAGGGAAAAAAAGCTATGATAAGGATCTTTCTGTGAATAAACTTTTAGGAAAATTATGTATAGACCAAGTTAAGTAGTAACTATAGGTGATACATTTATTTGTCACTGGATATTTATATTCAGTTTCTAATTGAACTATAATATAAACTTGTCTTTAAATATTGGAAATTTTTAGACCAGAAATACTATTAATGAAAATATGTAACACTGCATTGTAAAATTAACCAAAACAATCCACAGCAAACTAAAATGACTACAATAAAGGTAAAGAAAGATTAATTCATTAATTTCTTCATCTATTTAAAAAATATTCATTGATTACTTACTATACATCAGGCAACAACAAAATCTCTGCCTTTGTGGAGCTCATATTCTAATAGAATTCAAAAGCAAAAATAGCAGCTAAATATTACAGGATCAACTTAAGACAACACTAAGTCTTTCAAACTGTCCTGTGAGACAAGCCACAAATACTTTAAAATGCCTGATGTGTGCATGATCTGGTTTTCTCTCAGTAAAAGTTAGATTATGAGTTGAATTATATTGGTATTGGTAGAATCTAGGTGAAAATAGGTCCAGAGAACTCATGAATAAATGATGTATTTCTCAGAGTAATAAATCATATAATACCCAAAGCTAAATTTAAGATCACTTGCCCCTCCCTCAATATAATTGGTTTCCACAGGAATTGTTTCTAGCCAATTGTCTATGAGACAAGTTGAAATAAGTTTAAATATTTTTAAATCAGAATATTTACAAATGTAGCAGTCCTACTTATATACCACATACCATTTAAAATTCCTCTTTGTAGCCAAGATTTCTTCTCAATATCAAGTTAAGAAATTTAACAGCTATCCCTTCTGGGGAACCTATATTTCCACAGGGTCTCAAAGTAGTGGAAAACTTTTAGATTAGAATTTGGGTTGTGCTCAGTTCAGAAGACTATCATTAGTGATATCATTAGGCTTCACTAAGTCCACCAGTGGTAGACTCAAATAGATGAAAAAGAATCAAGGGGAGCCCTTTCTGGTATGGTTCAGTGGATTGAGAGCTGGTCTGCAAACCAAAAGGTTGCTGGTTTGATTCCCAGTCAGGGCACATGCATGGGTTGGAGACTAAGTCCCCACTTGGGGGTATGCGATGTAGCTCTCACACATTGATGTTTCTCTCTCTCTTCCTCCCTCCCCTCCCCTCTCTCTAAAAATAAATAAATAAATTTTTTTTAAAAGAATCAAGGGGAAAAAGTAGATATAATGAAGTGCTAGAACATACCTCATCTACTATATATTGCCTCTCCTTGGTGTAAATCTCTAACTACTGAAAATAGGGATAGAAGAAAGTGGAAAATACTTGTTGGCTTTACTTTGGGAATTTAATTGGTAAACTAAAATAGTCCTTATGATTTCATTCATATGTGGAATCTAATGAACAAACTGAACTCACAAGAAAAATAAAGACAGACTTGTAGATAGAAAGCAGGCTGACAGCGTTGGGGAGGCTACAGGTAGCATAACTGAGCAAAAAAGAGAAAGAACTCATGGATATGGACAATAGTGTGTTGATTGTGGGGGGAGGGGTGAGTACAGATAAAAGAGTATGGGGAAATAAATGGTGATGGAAGAAAATAAAATAGTCCTTAAGTTTCTGAAAAGAAAAAAATTTTAAGTTCTATCTAAAAGGGAAAAGTGTTCATGTGTCAACTTGGTAAATTCAAGTTTTTCTAAGACATTAATTTAGAAAAGCAAATTTTATTTGACTACATGGTGGCATTTTCTAATGAGAAGCTTGATTTTGCTGAGAAATTTTCAGACAACCCTGTGGCCTTTAAAAAGGTTTGACTTTATACCACCAGGCAGCCAGCCATAGGCTAAAAGGAGAGCTGTAATTGAATAGCTTTAATCTCATGGAGATTTCCAAGTTGTATGTTATAATATATCCTGGTTATGCTGAGAAGTGTAATTCAGGACCCCTTTGAAGGCTGCTGGGAGGTATAGCTTGGTAACAGAACTGCTTAAGCTCATTGATATTTAACCCACAGTCTCAGCCTTATACACGGAATCCTCAGACCAATGCTACTTCAGAAAAAAAAAGAATACATTTTAATATACCAGTTTTGTATCTCATGCTGCTACTTAGCATCAAAAAACTGTGCCCTGGCTGGTGTAGCAGAGTTGGAGTGTTACCCTGTAACCAAAAGTTTGCGGGTTCAATCCCTGGTCAGGGCACATGTGTAGGTTGTGGGTTCGTTCCCTGGTCCAAGGGCTTATAATCCCTGGTCTGGGCATGTAAGGGAGGCAACCAATAGATGCTTCTTTCTCTCCCTTCCTCTCTCTCCCCCTCTCTAAAAGCAATGAAAAAATTTCTTTGGATGAGGATAAGAAAAAGAAAATTAACATTTGAATAATGGCAAATAGTCATCACACTATAGAATGAAGTAGTTGATGACTTTAATGATTTTAAATTTTTCTTTCTTTTTTTTGTGTGTGCATGTGTAGCGATGAAAACTACTGGATGTAACTTAGATAAGGTAAATATTCTTCCTAATGCTCTGATCACTCCACTCATATCAAGCAGTATGATTAAGAGTGAAGATGTTACTCCAATGGAAGTAACAGCAGAGAAAAGATCTTCCCCTATCTTTAAGGTACGCCACATTGACTAGTGACCTATTTCTTAACCTCATATATAAAAGTTGCTATGTTTTAAGTGGTTTGAATTCTTTTTCCCATGTTTATGCTTTTTACTTTTTCTGTTTCTTTCACATTTGTTTCTCTTTGAATGCACTTAATGATTTTTGCTTTTCAGAATAAATGCTTTTATACTCGAGTAAAATAACATGCAAAGTGACTTCCAATATCCATTTTTGACAAGGGAGGAATTAATACATTAGCTAGACTTGTGGGGTGGGAGGATATTAATGAAAGTACTGGTTTAGCATTTTTGAAATTAGAGACATTTTTTTATTTCTTTTCTTTCTCACTCCTTTCCTGTAATTCTCTTCCCCTTTCCACTTGTTTTCCCCCATAATGTTACCAGTAAACCACAAAATGGAGGTTTTTTTAAGCTTCCTATTGATTCATGAACCATAGAATTAATGTTCTTACTGTCTTATACATATCAATAGCTGATTATTCTTTTGCTTTCTTGTTTGACTGTCTTTGCTTATAATATGTATTTTAAAAATCTTTTGACAATCAAATATGCTGTCACCATGACTCATAGTCTTATATTTGTTTTCCAAATAAGACATAGAATGGGAAATTGGTTCTGCATATGCATATGTTTTTAAAATAATGTTAATTTTTAAAGTACCATATGAGTTCATTTAATATTTATATGTACATATTATTTGGGGATTTTTATTTTTTAGACTACAAAGACAGTTGGATCAACTCAACAAACATTAGAAAATATCTCTAACATAGCAGGAAATGGGTCTTTTGCATCACCATCATCTTCCCACTTACCCTCTGAAAATGAAAAGCAGCAGCAGATTCAGCCCAAGGCATACAACCCAGAGACCCTGACAACTATCCAAACACAGGACATTTCACAGCCTGGTACCTTTCCAGCAGTTTCTGCTTCTAGTCAGCTGCCTAATAGTGATGCACTACTGCAACAGGCTACACAGTTTCAGACAAGAGAAACTCAGTCTAGAGAGGTATTACAGTCGGATGGTACAGTGGTTAATTTGCAACACCTGACCGAGGCATCGCAGCAGCAGCAGCAGTCACCACTACAAGAACAAGCACAGACTTTACAGCAGCAGATTTCATCAAATATTTTCCCATCACCAAGTAGTGTGAGTCAGCTACAGAACACAATTCAGCAATTGCAAGCAGGAAATTTTACCAGCAGTACTGCTAGTGGCAGCAGTGGAAATGTTGACTTGGTCCAACAAGTTTTAGAGGCACAACAACAGTTATCTTCAGTTTTATTTTCTGCTCCAGATGGTGAGAATGTTCAAGAACAGCTTAGTGCAGATATTTTTCAACAAGTCAGTCAAATTCAAAATAGTGTAAGCCCTGGAATATTTTCCTCAACAGAGCCAACAGTCCATACCAGACCAGATAATTTAATAGCTGGAAGAGCTGAAAGTGTTCACCCACAGACTGAAAATACATTATCTAATCAACAGCAGCAACAACAGCAACAGCAAGTGATGGAGTCATCAGCTGCAATGGTGATGGAGATGCAACAGAGTATCTGCCAGGCAGCTGCCCAGATTCAGTCAGAGTTATTTCCTTCAACTGCTTCAGCAAATGGAAACCTTCAGCAGTCTCCAGTTTTCCAGCAGACTTCTCATATGATGAGTGCATTATCAACCAATGAGGACATGCAAATGCAGTGTGAATTGTTTTCTTCTCCTCCTGCAGTTTCTGGAAATGAAACTACAACAACCACCACACAGCAGGTTGCAACCCCTGGTACCACCATGTTTCAGACATCAAGTTCAGGAGATGGAGAAGAAACAGGTACACAAGCAAAACAGATTCAGAACAGTGTCTTTCAGACCATGGTCCAAATGCAACATAGTGGGGACAGTCAATCTCAAGTTAACATTTTTTCATCTACAAAAAGTATGATGAGTGTTCAAAATAGTGGTACCCAGCAACAAGGTAATGGTTTATTCCAGCAAGGTAATGAGATGATGTCACTCCAATCTGGGAATTTTTTGCAGCAGTCTTCTCATTCACAGGCTCAACTTTTTCATCCTCAAAATCCTATCACTGATGCTCAGAACCTTTCCCAGGAAACTCAAGGTTCTATTTTTCACAGTCCAAGTCCTATTGTCCACAGTCAGACTTCTACAACCTCCACTGAACAGATGCAGCCTCCAATGTTTCACTCTCAAAGTACCATGGCTGTCCTACAGGGCTCTTCTGTTCCTCAAGACCAGCAGTCAGCCAACATATTTCTTTCCCAGAGTCCAATGAATAATCTCCAAACTAATGCAGTAGCTCAAGAAGAACAGATTTCATTTTTTGCAGCTCAGAACTCAATTTCTCCACTTCAGTCAACGTCAAACACCGAGCAGCAAGCTGCTTTCCAGCAGCAGCCTCCAATATCACACATTCAGACCCCTATGCTTTCTCAAGAGCAGGCACAGCCCTCCCAGCAAGGTCTGTTTCAGCCTCAGGTGTCCCTGGGTTCCCTTTCTCCTAATCCAATGCCTCAAAACCAACAGGGGACAATCTTCCAGTCACAGCACTCAATCGTTGCCATCCAGAGTAACTCTCCATCTCAAGAGCAGCAGCAGCAGCAGCAACAGCAGCAGCAGCAGCAGCAGCAACAGCCACAACAGCAACCTCAGAGCATTTTATTCAGTAATCAGAATACCATGGCTACAATGGCATCTCAGAAGCAACCACCACCAAACATGATATTCAACCCAAGTCAAAATCCAATGGCTAATCAGGAGCAACAGAACCAGTCAATTTTTCACCAACAAAATAATATGGCCCCCATGAATCAAGAGCAGCAGCCTATGCAATTTCAGAACCAGCCCACAGTTTCTTCACTTCAGAACCCAGGTTCTGCTCAATCTGAATCGCCACAGACCTCCTTGTTCCATAGCTCTCCTCAGATTCAGTTGGTCCAGGGATCACCCAGTTCTCAAGAGCAGCAAGTAACTCTCTTCCTCTCTCCAGCATCCATGTCTGCATTGCAGACCAGTATAAACCAACAAGACATGCAACAGTCTCCTCTTTATTCCCCTCAGAACAACATGCCTGGAATCCAAGGAGCCACATCTTCACCTCAACCACAAGCTACTTTATTTCACAACACTACAGGAGGCACAATGAACCAACTACAAAATTCTCCTGGTTCATCTCAGCAGACTTCAGGAATGTTCTTATTTGGCATTCAAAATAGTAAGAAACTCTAATTTTTCATTTATTAAATGTTGCCAGTTGAAATGGTCAGACTATTATTATTACTAGAAGGAAGCAAAATGCAGTGATTTTAAGAACATAGATTGTAGTTAGAACTAAGTTCAAGTTCCAGTTATACTACATACAGACTGTGAGTCTTAGACAAGTTATTTGACCAGCATGAATCTCAATTTCCACATCTAAAATGGTGGTAATACTACATATTTGACAAGGATATTGGGAGGGTTAAATATGGTTATGTATATAAATATATGTGTTTGCCACTTTTAAGCTATGAAATTAAAGGAAAACTAAGAATGACAGAAAAATATCAGCCAACTAAGTAGTTTTGAAGGAGGTAGAGACCCATCTTTAATATTTGTGTACCAAGGAAATTTTATAGGGCTTAATATGATAACTAGACAAAGTTGTATTTGCATACTGCTTAGACTCTGAGAGTCTAAAACTGTTAAATGCAGGGGTGTCCAACCTGCAGCTCATGGGCCACATGCATCCCAGGATGGCTGTGAATACAGCCCAACACAAAATTTTAAATTTACTTAATGAGATTTTTTTCTGATTATGTGTCACAGTGTATTTAATATGTGGCCCAAGACAACTCCCCTTCTTCCAGTGTGACCCAGAGATGCCAGAAAGTTGGACACCCCTGGGAAGAAACCAAAGAAGAATATCAGTACTTTTCAGTGAAAACCATTTGGGGGTTGGAGGTGCATCAGGTGCCTCACTTTTAGTTCTATGCTGAGTGAACACAATAATGACTTAGCCTCAGCAACTAATAAATATCTTGTGAATCTTAACAGAAAGTAATCAGGTAGCTTCTCTATTTTAAATGTCTCTGCAGACTGTAATCAGCTTTTAACTTCTGGACCAGCTGCTTTGCCAGATCAGTTGATGGCTATAAGTCAGCCTGGCCAACCACAAAATGAGGGCCAGCCACCTGTGACAACACTTCTTTCTCAGCAAATGCCAGAGAATTCTCCACTGGCATCCTCTATAAATACCAACCAGAACATTGAAAAGATGGATTTGCTTGTTTCATTGCAAAACCAAGGGAACAATTTGACTGGCTCCTTTTAACTGGATATGTAAGTATTGCATTTTGGCTTCTTTCTTATTGAAAAGTATCAGTGAATTGTATTCTTAGCAGATTTGAGTTAAGTAATAGCACTGTTTAGACTCTAATCTTTTTCTTAAGATTGTACTTACTTATTTTTAGAGAGAGGGGAGAGAGGGAGAAAGAGAAGAGAAACATCGACTGGTTGCCACTTGCATGCCCCCACCTGATGACCTAGTCAGCAACCCAGGCATGTGCCCTGACCAGGAATCGAACCAGCAACCTTTCGTTTCAAAGGCCAATGCTCAATCCATTGAGCTACACTAGCCAGGGCAACTCTAATCTTTTAAAATATGGTGTTCTCACAAGATGGTACTTTTTTACTCTAGGTTACTTGATGAGTGATAGCTTATGGTCATATTGTTAATGCTGGATATGCCTTCTGGCTCTAAACTTCTTTGCCTTGGAATGACAAATTCCCATGTATTATATATTGGATATAATTAAGTCTCATTTTTCCATTCCTCAAGAAATAAATATTAAGCCAGAAAGTTCTTTGGAAGAATAAATATGATAGAGTATCATTTATAGTACTGTAACATACTCTGGGATCATTCCAGGTAAGAGGATCTTTATAAATGCTTCCCCTTCCTAGTTATATTAAATGTGTTCCCTTTTTTTTTTTTTTTTTTTAGAAATTCTATGAAGAAAATCCTGATTCCAAGATGTCCCAAGATCTTGTGATTCCATGAGGATTGAACTGTTACTTTAAAAAAAAAATGAAATATAAAAACTGTGATTGAGTAAATGTATAGGTTTTACTCTGGCTGCAAAAGAGCACACCTATGCTGCCTGTTGCAGTGATTAGCCACCATTGTTAACATCTTCATATTTTGTATTCCTAATAACAATGATGACTGAGAATCTGTTTGAGTTTCTAGCTGACAGAATTAATTGTTGCTATTTTCCTAGGCACTTTTTCTTTAAAAGTACCGTTTAAATTTAAAGCCAGACTGTTCAGTTATCATTGCTATTAGAAAATAATTCATATTGTCATATTTACTTTTGTTCTTCATTATTTTCTTCCCTGTATTGTTCTAGTCAAGTAACAGCTTTTGAAAAAGGAAAATTCAAATAATAACTAAGGCTGTGATTTTTCAATATAAAGAACACAGCTATTGGCCAAACTGAAGGAATCCTTTTCGAGTTTCATAGAAAAACTGAAGAGGTAACATTCTGACAAGTAAGCTGTATTAAGAGCTCTCCACAGTTAAGAGGCTTCTTTATCACAAAGGCAGACAACACAAATTGGGAACAGCTGGAATGCTATGCATTTTGTTTTTCAGATTGTTGTTAATTCTCTTTCTGCTAAACAGTTCAGGCATAACTGCATAGAAAAATAGTTATCTTGCTCTATGAAAAAGCAAAGGGGATAATATATGGTAAATTATATTCCGACATCCTCCTGCAATAGTTTCAACGGACAGCAGTTTGAATCTGTTTTCTTTTTAATCTAGTCTTGGGTTGATTGTTCCCTTTTAATATTCATCTATATTATTCCCCTTTTTCACTTTATTTTAAACAGTTGGTAATATATTCCTAGTTTGTGACCCTGTAATGACTTAGAGGAAAAGGCCACTTTCATCTGGGGTAGCCCAGCAACTCCTGCAGCACAGGTGGGGGCTGCCTTTTCAGGAATAAGGAGAACTGATTCCTGAGAAACAAGAAACAATGCATTTCCTCCCATGAACGGTGCTGTTCTGAAGTCTTCAAAATTTTCCCTCTAATAGGAAACATGTAAATTTTAATTTAAAGGAAAGGCAAAGTAAAATTTCTTAAAACATCACTTCTCCCTGAGCTGCAGTGAATGTAATTCACTTGTCACCTCAGTGATTTACAGTTTGAAGTGGTCACTTATCTGATGGTTCCCACAAGCCTTAGGCTTTACAGGGTCATGTCATTGACTTAAAATGAAGAATTAACTTGTGTTACATCTATTGAGAGCAAAATAACTCACTCCAAAACTTGCAGTTGCAGCATTAGTTACATGGTTTTGGGTGTTCTCACCACCCATGGGATGCCTGCTTCTCACTACAGCCTGTTGTCTGGACACATGCTTATGTTGTACTTTTCTTTTGGCATGTAGAAAGCTGTTAATACAGTTTAAGGCCAAATTGTGTGTGGCTTCTATATGTAGCTAAGATGTTTTGGTATTCTTGTCCGTTTCATTTATTTTTTTAAGTGTACAAAAATAGCCTGTTAATTGTTTGTTGAAAGCTACTTTTCTGTTTGTTTTTTCTATCCTATACATATAGTTGAACTTAGTGGAATTGTGGTCTTGGTTTTGTTTATACAGCCAGATTTTTCCCCTTTTTGTGATGATCTTCCTTGGTTCTTTGAATGTGCTGTCCTTCTAATTTGTTTTTTCTCTTTGTTCTCATATATTCTTCCCTCTGCCCTCAACCTTTCTTTCTCTCTCTCTCTGATTGAGAGGCATTGAATTACGTTTTCAGTAGTACAGGCTTCTTGCCGATATGAAGGGAACTTTTCAGAAAGAGACCTACTCTGGGTCATTTAATTTTGAATACAGTTTTCAATCGTTCAAGTTTTGGATGGTTTATATCTAATGTGTGTTTCATTTTTTTGGAAAGCTATATTTTGTATTTAGGAAATGGTATACTATTTTGCTATTTGTACTGAGTGAGTACATTGGCATAAATATAGAAATTTATATATATACATATATATAAACTATTCTTTTTTGCCACACATTTTTGTGGTAATTTTGTGAGTTTGTCTGATGTTCTACCACAACGTGGCGTCTGATAACAGTGAGGGGGGGTTTGTTATGTCTTTATTGAGTATTTAAGTATCTTTTGAAACAAATGACTTGTTCATCAGTGGCCATTCCATCAGGCAGTTCCTTGATGTTCTTGGTGGGCTAAAGGCAGCTTACTGTCTGTTTGCTGGATCTTTCACTCAGCAAAATGTTGGAGTAAGTAACCCATCTAGGCAGTTGTGTTAAATGGTGTTTCATGAGAATGAGCCATTCAGCCTTCACTCACTATATATTTAATATTTTATTATTGTTTTTATTATTAATTGGCTTTCTGTGTTCTATGCCTTTTATTTATAAAGACACTAAAAAACATGTTTGTAATTTTAATAACATTTTCCCCATCTTGTAATATCCAGAGCTACTTTATAAATTCTCTGAACCGAAAGCATTTTCCTCATTATATCTCTTCTCTCTCCACCCCTATCAGGAAAATTACCCAATATAGTTCAGGTTATAAGAAAGACCAGCCACACAATCCAGTGCTTCAATTTTAAAATGTAAAACTCCAACTACAGAGAGTTGATGAATGTCAGAAAGCTTACCCAGCAGGTATAAAAATAAGTAGAAATAAAATACCGTAAGTTCATTTCTGAGTTTTCTGAATTTTTTTCTGAGATTATACAGGAGACTTAGAAAGTCTATTTGTTCACCAAGTTCTAATTAGAATGTTAATATTGCTCTGTGGATGAAGTGGTGGCAAGAAGACTGACTGTGTGCTGACTTCTGTTGTTTAGCAAGAGGTTTGTCATTGTAAAATGCTGATTGCCAATGCCAAGTCACCAGGGACCAATTTTCTGTTTTATAATATCTAAGTTTAGAACAGAACATACACCTGAACTGTAATGGTTTGATTGGATGAAAGCAGAAAACCCAATTTTTATTTTCATAAATTTTGTGGTTATTTGTATAAGGGCTGTGCTATGCTACCATACTACCGTATTCTTACTCAATAATGATGTTGTTATTTTTTTTAACATTGTTATATGTTCCTTGCCCCTAAAGGTCAATATTAAGTACAGCATTCTGAATATACAATTTGGTTACAAAAACTATTTGTCTTCTCATTGAAGAATTAGCTTAGTTATCAGTGGTTGATACTTGTGCTAATAATGCAGTTTCCAGATTACCATTACAAATACAGCTATATATAGGGAGAGACCCCATCAGCCAGCAAAGGCCTCGGAAACAACAATTTATTAAATTTATTTATGGCAGAAGGACCTAAATAAGTTTTGAACCACATTTTATTCCTTTATATTGTTACATTCAATCATTCTTTTAGCAACTCACATTAATGCTTGGAGCTTATCTCTGTGTCTGTGTGAGTGTGTGTTTTATTCCTATTGTCATTCCATTGTATAGCCACACCAACATGGGAGAAGATAACTTAGAAGTCATATTTTGCTTTTGAGCTTTATCATGTTACCTTTGTAATTAGAGTATCGTGTTGCCATATAACTAATGCAAATCTGTTTTTACCAGTTTCCCTAGAAAGGTTTTTAAAGGGCTTTGTTTATTATAGAAGCAGTATTAATGAGAGATCTGCCTTCCTTCTTTTCCCTCCTATTTTGCTTTTTGCAGGTGGGGATGATAATGCTCTATAGTATATATGCTATAGTTGGGAATTTCATTATAGTGCATTTCTGGCCCATCAGAACCCCATTTAATTTGCCTAGGAAAATAGTGCCCAAGGAAATAAGAAGTAAGTTATATTTGAGTCCCTTTAGAACTAAAGTAATAATTCCTTTAGATTATTTAAGCCATTATAGATGCTTGTTTTAGAAAAGTAAAATCAGTTTAAATGCATCAGTAATTAAAAAGCAGAATTAAATGCTTTGATAATCAAGGTCTCAAATTCCACAAGGTTGATAAATATTCACTAAGAGTAACTGCAGAATTTTTCATTTTTCTGGTGAAATTTTTTGTTCTAGTAACTGTTTCCTAGTTGTTTTTTGAAATAACTGGAAGTTATATAAGACCTGTTAGCTTTACTTAGCTTCGTGATCACAGGTTTCATCCCCAACTGGACAACCATGTTGTATCCGCATGCCTCTGGTTATATGGAGGGACTTAATGGAAGAGAGACTGAATGGTTCAGAAGCTTTTGAGAGTAATAACTCAGAGTATATGCCCTAGTAAGTGATTTAGTAAAATCTTATATAATGTATAAAAAGAGGTTTTCTCCTCTGCTTACTTGTATCACTAGAGCTAAATTGTGGAGATAATGTTCATAATGTAATAAATATCAAATTAATACCTACAGTGTCATTTGTGAATTATCCCAGGGCTCTAATTACTTCTTTAATCCCCATTGATTTTCATGCCATTCTAGCCTCACTTATTAATAAATTTCTATTTTTACTCTACTTTCTCTTTCAGGAAAATTTTTTAAATTAATATTTTATATCAAGATTAAATGGAAAAGTGCCTTTTACCATGATAGTGCACCTTTTACGTAATTTCCGTTTTGCTATTGCCAAAAACATGTAAATTATTTTAAGAGGTCCCAACCTTCAAATTTTCCATTTAACCATTCTTTTCTCCATTTCTTTCTTTTCTTTTTGAAAATTTAATTGGATTTATTAAGCAGTTCATGAATCAGGCAGCATCTCATCTAGCAACTAGAAGGGCACTTGAAAGGGTTGTGCAACATGGAAGGTTTTTATAGCTCCATTTCTTAATCATCATAGGAAATAACTTCATAAGTATCTAACTCCCTTTGGCCTAAGAGTAACAGAAAAAGTAGGTTACCAGAATTGTTCCTTTGAGGGAGGGTAAGTAAAAGATTACAGAATTATACTGTTTAGGCTTTATATTTATAACTAAATTTGTCTTTATCTCAACCAACTAATGATAGGTCTTAACCTGAATGCTAATGAAAATTTTACTACCTGTGCAACTCCATACATACAAATGTGTGTAGTTAAATTTCAGGAAGGAAGTGTTTAAAGCATCTTCTATGATCTTAATTAGATGAATGAAAATAAATCACTAACACGAAGTTTAAGTAAAACCTGGTAATGTCAGTTTTTCTAACTAGACAGAGCCAAGTAACTAATTATAGTGCACTTTTTGCCCATTAGACCCTCAGTAATCTACCTATGAAAAGTAGTGTTAAAGGAAATGAAAAAGTTATATCTGAGTCCCTCCAGAACCAGGATAATGCCTTTCTGTAACCAGATATAGTTGAATTGTGTCCCTCTGGTTTTTGTTAATTTTGCCTGTGTTCCAGCTACTTAACACAGTGGTAGTGCCTGAAGAGAGGGCCATCAGCAACAGGTCAGGACAGCAACAGCTTTGGGATGAGCTGCTTTCCCCCATGTGAGTATTTCTGTGGTTAGTAACTCTGAAGACTCAAACGTTTACACAATATTCTTAATACCCTATTAATATTATGCACTTGAATCATTCCAAAGAAGTCAAGAATGCTGTATAGTGATGATTCCTTCTTAATGACTACATCTTAACTGCTTAGAATATTATATCCCTTTTTATTTTGGAGAGCAACTTGGCATAAGTGCTATGTAAATATTTTCTAAAATGACTATAGTAGAGCTTAAATAGGACTTAGACTTTGAAATGTAATTGGTTATAAGGGGAAATGATTACACTTCAGGAAATCATTTTAGAAACATTAAAATGTTCAGTTTACTAATCTGTATGCTAGAAAATTAATTAAAACCAGCCCTCTTCCTATATATCTTGTGTTATGTACATAAGAACATTGTAGTATATAGTTTTCTGCATAAAACCAGTGGTTCTCAAAATATGGTCCTTAGCCTACCAGCCAATTTTAGCATCACCTTTGAACTAGTTAGAAATGCAAATTCTTGGGTCCTATCCTAGACACACTGAGTCAGAAAGGGGAGAGTGGGGCTCAGCAATCTGTGTTTTAACACCCTCCAGGTGATTCTGATGCGCTCATAAAGCTTGAGAACCACCGGTGTAAACTATTTACAGTGAGGTCTAGAAAGCTGGCTTTTCCATAAAGATAGGGTTATGCATTGTTCTTTATGTAAATTCAGCTTAACCTGGTTATTATGATCCTTTATTGGCAATGATAATTCATTCTCAGCACTGCCTATAGTATATTTTATGTATATATATAATTAGTTATTGATAATTCAGTTAACTTAGTTTGGCATATTTCTACCACTTACTAAAAAGTTTACATTAAGTAACTGATTTAAAGATATAGGTGCAATGTTCTACATTTCTTTTAATTGCTATGACATTTAAGTAGCTAATATAATTGACAGGTGCTAAATTCTCCTGTTCATTCTTAAAATGGGTACATTGTGGGCAGTGATGATACAAGTTTTTTTTTTTTCATTGCCTCTTACTTTACCAGCAGACCACAAGTTTGGTCTGGTTAGGTCAACTCTCAGAACAAAGTTGGCATTCCTATATTTATATTTGTATCTGAGACATTAAACAAGATGGCTGTCCAGACCAACAAAGCACTGTATTTAATTTCTTTTTTTAATACATGAATCTTTAAGAGTAAGTTGCTTTGTATGAGAACTTCTGCAGAAGATATAACTATATTAAACAAGACAATGTGTTATATAATTTGGGCATTTGTCCCTTGTCAGTGTATGTATGCATCATGGTAAAGATAAACTATCCACAAGACAAGTAGATTTATTCATTCACTTTATCTCCCTATGTAATTTAATATTTCTGTAATTGTTCTAATCTTCCTCCCACTGTTTACAAATCACCAATAAAAATGCACATTTCAAACTAAAAATAATTATATACTCTATAAAATTCACCACTGCTTAATACTAGCAGTAGAAATGTAAGTGGCTTACTTTACAAACTATGGTGCTGGCAAATATAAAGGCAAACTTTTGGGAGATGCTCTAGCTACATTCCTCCTTTCTTGTGCCCTTTCCTCTCTTCCTTACTTGATTGCTTAATATATTCCTGTACCCAAAGTATTCTACCACAGTGGTGTATGACTTCAACTTGTAATGTCTCCTTTGAAAGCCCCGTGTTTAAGCTCCACATCATACCCTGCTCTTTTTTTTTTTAACCAGAAGTAATTTGCCTGGTTTGAGTAGTTCATAGGGATCACTTATTATTTTAGCTAATGAACCTCAGGACCACACACACACACACACCATCTCACATGTTTGAGGGTGGGTTTGGAATCAGACATGTGTCTGATAAAGAGCTGTCCTGCACTGAAGTGTTTGACTTTAGGGGCTACAAACTGATCTAGTGACATTCAGCTCATTTCTTTTCATCTAATGAATGTATCTTCTCACCTTGTTCCCTTACTTCTAATTGATAAGCTCCAAGTAGTTGCTAATTATTGACAACTTTTACTTAGTCTTTTTGATAAATGTATTACAAGTATTTTATTAACCTATTCTCAAGTGGTTTGGATACCATTCTGCCATTTAAATTTTATTTGCTTGAGCACACTGATCAACCACTGAATTGCCTTCTTCCATTGTCCTGCAATGACTAAGGGTTACATTTTTGTGTATATGGCTTTCATAGTTGGGGTCGCAGAGCACTGACACCAGATATTTTCAGTTTGTTCTCTGGGGGAATTTCATTTGCATCTATGTTTTTAGCTATCTGTGATAACTTGTTAAATATTAAAAAGATATTTTGCTTCTATTGGAACATTTGTATACTCGCAACTATATTTCTGTAAACAGCTGCAGTCAAAAATAAAACATTGAAAGTTTTCATTTTGCAGTGGGTACTGTCTTTTTTCCTCAAACTCTGTGGATAAATTCACATCCACGAATGCCAGTTTTGAGTAGCATGAGTATGTGGCTGAAATGATAAAATCATTAGGAAAAGGTATGAAATATAGAAACATTTTCAAGTAGTTATTTTGTGCCTACAGTGTAAAAAGTGCTTTGTGTGACAGAATTTTGGTTTTCCTTAGTTTAAATGTTTCATGCTTAGTAAAGTAGTACATACACAAGGCAGCAATTCATATAGCATGGAGGTGCTTTTGATGAACACCAAGTTTCCCTAGCCACAGTCCCAATCTCTTTTTATTCTTTTGGCAGTTATTCCCCCATGTATAAATTAGTGTTTACCAGAATGAAACATGTAGCAACATACCACTGGTGGTACTCAAAATGATTTCAGGTGATACATAGGAAACACTATTTTTAAACATAGTGTATGTGTTTTAATGTTCATTAGAAAAAAATATAATGTGTATCTCTACTAGACTACTCATAGTCTAGTAGGTACACTACTAGAGTCAAATTAAAGAAAAATAGTAAATGAATACTAACACAGATGATACATGGATACCACAATTATAATATGTAGAAACTGATGTTTACAAGTACTGCTTTAGACAGTACACTTATATACCTTCTTATCAAATATAGATGGTGTCTGTTGATTTTTGGAAGTGACTGAGTTTTTTAACATATCCAAATATATCTAAATGACTTGTCACTTTAGGAGGATTAAATTAATTATATAAAATAAATTATATGCATAATTTACTTCAACAATGCTGTCATTCAAAATATGTTTAAAAGTTGTCTTCTTTTGGCATTTAGTGACTTCAGTAGCACTGGAA